CCGTGCCAGGAGGCCCCCTCGGCCCTCTCGGCCCGCGGAGGAGGAGGAGGAGGGAGGAGGAGGAGGAGGGAGGAGGGAGGAGGGAGGAGGGAGGAGGGAGGAGGGAGGAGGCAGGAGGGAGGAGGGAGGAGGAGGGAGGAGGGAGGAGGGAGGAGGGAGGAGGAGGAGGAGGTGGAAGGAGGAGGAGAAGGAGGAGGAGGAGGAGGACGAGGAGGAGGGGAGGAGGGAGGGAGGGAGGAGGGAGGGAGGGAGGGGAGGAGGAGGAGGAGGGAGGGAGGGAGGAGGGAGGAGGAGACGTCCTTGCCCGGAGGCGCCCCGCGTCGCCCGGCATGCGCCGCCCCGTGCGGCCGTCGCCCCTCGGCCAGCCGACGGACGAGCCGGCAGACGAGCGGCCCGAGCGGCCCACAGGCCGCCGCCCCCGGGGGTGGGTCGGCGCCGAGCGCGTTCCACTGCTCGCGAAGTGCCTACTCGCAACCGTCCGAAAGACACATGTCTGATTGGATGTAATGTATCGTAGATCCCCCGCGGGGGACCCATGCCATTTGCGAGCAGTTGCTCTGCGAGTAGTGGAACGCGCTCGTCGAGGGTCGGCGGCGAGAGAGGGGCCTACCGATCCCTGGCGAGGATCACTGTGGAGCCTCCTGGCTCGTTTTCGGTAAATACACGCACGAAGTCGAAACACACACACGCACACACACACACGTGACATGGACGCCCGAGCGTTGGCGAGAAGCAGCCTTCGCCACTGCCGTGCCCGGCAGGGGGCGTCCCGGGCCCCAGGGACGTCCTGGGCCCAGCGTGCCCGGCCAAGGACGTCCTGGCCTCGGCCAGGAGGGCGCGTGCAGCATTGGGGTTGAGTCGGTGATTCCCTACGGGTTCTTCGAGGATTTCCTCAGATCCGGCGGCCCCCCGCCGTGATGTGGTCGGGGAGGACGAGCTCCTCCCCCCTTCCCATGACCACGCCCGTTATCGCGAATAACAAGATAACAGTTTCTGGCGCTCACGGGGGTCAGCCAATTCCCTCGGGCCGACCTGGGTTTGGGAACCACGAGGGCCGAGTTCTTCTGGGCCTCCTAGATAGGGCCCGAGCAGAGGATCGCGCCACATCGCCTGTGCATCGGCAATGCGGCTGGTGTGGAGTCCGATTCTCTCCGCGCCGATGGCGCCGTTACATCGCCGACATCGACGGTGCATCGCCGATGCACTGGCGAAGCATCGGCGAAGCATCGGCTGTGCGGCGCGATCCTCCGACCCCGTCTGCTCCGACCCCATCTGGGAGGTCTCTGCGCCCTCCGCTTGCCCCCTTGGGGGCGGCGGATCCATGTCGTTTTCATTAGGGTGCTGGTGACTCACATGCCCCTTGCATCGCTCGGACGTGTGCGTTTTTTCCTCGGCGAGGACCATCGAGGAGCATTCTTGATCACTTGGCGAAGAAACCACGCACGAAACCGAAAAAAGCACAGGGCATGGACGTCCGAGCGATGGCCAGATATCGTTTTCAGTAGGGTGCTAGTGACTCACGTGCCCCACTGCCGGCTCGCTCGCTCGCCCTTCGCCAGATCTGGCTCTGGAGCTACTACTGAGCGGTCGGCCGGGCTTCGCGACAGGGCCCCGTGGGCGACGGGATTCGGATGTTAGTGCGTTCCCGACGTCTGGCCCATGCTGCCCTCCTCTCCAGCCTCTGGCCCCTCCTGGGGAGGGGAAGGAGGTGGAGGAGGAGGAGGAGGTGGAGGAGGAGGAGGAGGTGGAGGAGGAGGAGGAGGAAGAGGAGCATGTAGATGAGGAATCGGAGGGTCCAGGAGGAGAATGATGCAGATGATGACGATGCTGCTGATGATGGTGGTGATGATGATAGTGATGATGATGCTGATGATGATGACGATGATGATGATGCTGATGATGACGGTGATGATGACGATGATGATGATGCTGCTGCTGATGATGGTGATGATAATGATGTTGGAGCTGATGCTGCTGATGACGATGCTGATGATGCTAGTGATGATGATGCTGGTGATACTGATTATGATGTTGATGCTGATGCGGATGATGATGCTGCTGTTGATGCTGCTGTTGATGATGATGATGATGGCGATGGAGATGACGATGGCGACGATGATGCTGATGCTGCTGATGATGCTGCTGATGCTGGTGGTGGTGGTGATGCTGATGATGCTGATGCTCATACTGCTTCTGATGATGAGGACGCTGATGCTGATGTTGATGTAATGAGGATTGTTATGTTCCTGGTGAGGATGAGGCGGTTGCTTTGTTAATGTTGCTGCGGTTGTTGTTGCTGATGGTGCTGATGATGACGAGGTTGATGCTGATGATGATTATGCTGATGCGTATGTTGATTGTGATATCGAGGATTATTATGCTGATGATGAAGGTGATGATGAGGACGTGTTGGATGCTGATGATACTGATGATGGCGATGATGATGATGATAATGATGATGCTGCTGATGATGATGATGCTGATGATGTTGCTGATGATGATGATGATGATGATGCTGATGCTGCTGCTGCTGCTGCTGATGATGATGATGATGATGATGATGATGATGATGATGATGATGATGATGATGATGATGATGATGATGATGATGATGCTGCTGCTGATGATGATGATGATGATGATGATGATGATGATGTTGCTGCTGCTGCTGATGATGATGATGATGATGATGGTGATGATGGTGCTGCTGCTGCTGCTGCTGATGATGATGATGATGACACTCGTGATGTTCTGCTGCCGATGATGATGGTGATGATGATGATGAGGAGGAGGAGGAAGAGGAGGAAGAGAAAAGCGAACATGGAGCAGGAGGAGGAGGACTATGGAGAAGTACAGAGTAGGATTAGGAGGATGAGGAGGAGGAGGAGGAGGAAACTGGAGGAGGAGGAGGGACATGCAAGAGTACAGAGGAAGGACGGAAGAGGAGGAGGAGGACGAGGAATATGGAGGGGAACGACTATGGACAAATGTAGAGGAGCTGGAGGAGGGGATGGGGACAAGCTAGCTGCGCTCGCGTCATATCTGACGTCCTCCCCCTCCGTCCCATCCCGTACCATGGCGTAGATATCCTCTCTATTCGCACAGTCGGATGCCGAGCAGGGCAATGATCGCGAGAGGGTGCGCGATGCATAGCAGAGCACGGCAGAGCGTAGCATGCCATAGCATGGCGTGGCATTGCGCAGTGAAGCATTGCATCACACACCAGTGCAACGCAAAGCATGGCATCGAACAGCGGCGCAGAACACAACACCGCACAGAATTTCATAGCATGGCGCCAGGTTCTTAGGAGGGTAAGTGGATCGTCGTCGAGAGGAGTCGCGGCTCCATGTCTAGCGGGGCTGATGGAGAGCACCCGCTGGCCCTTTCTCCAACATCGCCTTCTCAAGACAGAAACGGGGCTCCCGCTCGATAGTTCCTGAACGCGACGGCGCCCCAAAGTGGAGGGCTGGCTTCTGCGGTCCCCCAGATCACGGAATCGGCGCCGAAGGTGTAATCATTTCCAATGTTTTTTTTGCAATGTTTTTTGTGGGGGGGATTTTCTAGATTTTCAATGTTTTTTTTGTGTAACCATTTGCAATGTTTCTTTTGTGGGGGGAATTTTCTAGATTTTGGGGGCCTGTGTGGAAAAACAAATGCCAGCGCTGGAGCGGAAACACGACTCGGAACAAGGGGAAGCGCTGAAAGGAGGCCAACGCTGCAGCGGGAGCACGCATCGGAACGAGCGGAAGCCCGAGAAAGAGGCCAGCGTTGCAGCGGGAGCACGATTCGGAACGAGCGGAAGCCCGAAAATGAGGCCAAACGCCTCAGCGGGAACAACATTTCGAATCAAACACCCAAGCGAAAAACATCCAGTTCCTGCGAATCTTGTGTGTTCAAAAACAGTACGCGGATGGGGGTCGGATATCTTCAGGACGTCATCGAGGAAGAGAGGAGAGTAGTACTCATGTTGTGTAATTGTCGAGGGGGAGGAGGAGGAGGCGGAGGAGGAGGAGCAGGAGGAGGATCAGGAGGAGAGAAGACGAGGAGGAGGAGGCAGAGAAGGAGGAGGAGGAGGAGGAAGATGAAGAGGAGGAGGACGAGGAGGAGGAGGAGGAGGTGGAAAAGGGACCAGGGAGAGAGGCAGAAGGAGGAGGAGGAGGAGGACGAGGAGGAGGACCAGTGTAAAACCACGACTCATCAACGATGTTGGAATACATCCTCCCTCGAAGTTCCCTATTCATCGGCCTCTATCAGGATTCACTTCCACTGAGGGATCTGCCCCGTTGGGGAGAACCGATCGAAGACCCTGAAGCGTGCCCAGACACCATTCTCGGGACTCCAACGACACGAATCAATTTGACTGTTTCATACCTGCGATTCAGAATCGCGCCAGACCAAACACGATTTCTGGTACGATGGCCATGTGAGTCTGTGCAACTCTTGCAAATGTTAAAACGACGGTGCGCGGCGCAAAAACGAAAACAGCATTTTGAAACGGAACCGCTTTCAACCCGTAGAACTCTTGCACATGTTTAAACTGAATGTGCGCGGCGCTCAGGCGAGAGGCACATTTTGAAAACGGCCCGCCATCAATCCGTGAAACTCTTGCAATGTTCAAAGACGAGTGAGCGCGGCGCCAAAGCTAGAGCCACATTTTGAACACGCAATCTGCACGCAATGCTTTACGTCGAATGTGCGCGGCGCTAAGGCGAGAGTCACATTTTGAACACCACCCGCCCTCCATTTGTGAAACCGATGTCAGTTTGGTGAGAAAGTCTCAGGCGAAATTCCTGGCTTCGGGGTGTGACAGGGAGGAGTTAAGTATAAGGAAAAGGGTCGGCAAAGGGGTAGGAGGGTCGAGGAAGAGGATGATGAGGAGGCGGAGGCGGCGGTGGCGGCGGCGGCGGCGGAAGAGGAAGAGGAGGAGGAGGAGGAAGAGGAGGAGGAGGAGGAAGAGGAGGAGGAGGAGGAGGAGGAGGAGGAGGGGGAGGGGGAGCAGGAGGAGGAGGAGGATGAGGGGGAGGAGGAGGAGGAGGAGGAGGAGGAGGAGGAGGCGGAAGAGGGTCGATGGAGAGGAGGACGAGGCGGCGGCGGCGGTGGTGGATTGGACCGCGCTTCGCCAGGAGAGCCAGCGCTGCTGCAAGCCGAAGGGTCGATCCCATCGACCCTTCGGCTTGCAGCAAGTGAAAGAAGTAGAGGTGGAGGAGGAAGCCGACGAGGAGGGCCGAAGAGAGGAAATTGTTGTTGCCGCCCCGGTTCCTGACCCCTGAAGGTCCCTGGCCCCGCTGGAGGCCCCCAGAGGCCCCCCGAGGCCCGCCAGTGGGCCCCTACGACGCCCGAGAACCTTCGCCCTCGAGGGTCGAGGGAAAAACGTGGCACCGAAGAGGAAGAGGAGGCTGTTCTGCTCTCGTCTCCGCCATGTTTGCTTGCACTGAGGTGAGGGGGGCCGAATTCGATATCCCAGTTGGACGGGCGATGCCCCGGTTGGACGGGCTATATCCCAGCAGAGTTGGGCTATACGCCGGTTGGAGCCTTCAACCCCTCCCAAAACACCACAATACACCAAACACCAAACACCACCAAACACCAAACCCCAAACAACAAACACCAAACACCAAACCTGAACCCCCAAACAACAAACAGTACCCCAAACCCCAAACACGAAGAGGCCCGAAAGGAAGTTGGGACCTCACGCAACTTGGGGCCCACTTGCACACCTTGTACGCAGGCGCGAGGGCGCCCTGGCGGCCCTTGCTGCGTTTTCGCGCAGCTCGAGGCGATCCCGCGCAGGCCTCAGAGAGTATGCGCCATGGGCGTTGGTCGCGCGAGATTTTTCAAATGGTGCATCGGCGCCCCGGTTTTCTGGTCGGCCCAGCGCTGTCGACAGGGCGCAGAAGGGGCGGGGGGGGGGAATGTCATGCCAATCAACTGGCTCGAGTCTGGAGTAAACCGCCGTCCTTGGCACCGATTGCGCAGCCGTTCACAGGAGCCTTCCTTCGCGTTGCGCGTTATGTGCTGTCTTCTTTTTCGCAGACAGGCGGGCCGCGGCCGTCCCCGTTCGCGTCGGCCAAGCCGGTCGACATCAAGAGCAGGGACGTGGAGGAGTCCCCCCCGGCGGGGGCGAGGGTCACATCGGATTCGGCCACGCGCAGAGGAGGGTAGATAGGGGCAACGATCGGGGGGACGACGACGACGACGACGACGACGACGACGACGACGACGACGACGACGACGACGACGACTGACGACGACGACGACGGCGGCGGCGGCGACGGCGACGGCGGCGGGGACGACGACGACGACGACGACGACGACGACGGCGGCGGCGGCGGCGGCGACGGCGGCGGGGACGACGACGACGGCGACGTCGACGACGACGACGTCGACGACGACGACGATAGCGGCGGCGGCGGTGGCGGCGACGACGACGACGACGACATCGACGTTGACGTTGACGTCAACGACGACGACGGCGACGACGACGACGATGACGACGATGACGACGACGGCGAGTGACCACGGCGAGCGACCACGACGACGCCGACGACGTCGACGACCACGATGATGACCACGACGACGACGACGACTCTGCCGCCGCCGCCGCCGACGACGACGACGACGACGACGCCGACGCCGCCGCCGACGACGACGACGACCACGACGACCACAACGACCACGACGACCAGGACGACCACGACGACCACGACGACAACGACGACGACGACGACGACCACGACGACCACGACGACCACGACGACCACGACGACCACGACGCCGACGACGACGACGCCGACGCCGACGCCGACGCCGACGCCGACGCCGACAACCACGACAACGACGACGCCGACGCCGTTGCTGACGCCGACGCCGACGCCGACGCCGACGCCGACGACGACGCCGACGCCGACGACCACGACGCCGACGCCGACGCCGACGCCGACGCCGACGCCGACGCCGACGCCGACGCCGACGCCCACGCCCACGCCCACGCCGACGCCGACGCCGACGCCGACGCCGACGCCGACGCCGACGCCGTCGACGTCGACGTCGACGTCGACGTCGACGTCGACGTCGACGACGACGACGACGACGACGACGACGACGACGACGACGACGACGACGACGACGACGACGACGAGTGACGCCCGAGGGTTTCGCAGAGGTATCCGGAGGTCTGCAGGGCCCCTTAGGTGCGTCCTTCAGAGGCCTCTGGAGGCTTCCAGCCTCTGGAGGCTTCTGGAAAATGGCGAGGAGTTTGTCGGCCACGCGCAGAAGAGGGTACGGGGGAAGGAGGGGGGCTCTTAGAGGCGCCGCTGCTTTCCAGAAGGCGCGGGCCCTGTCTGTAGGCGTGACGCACGCGCCTTCTCTGAAGCAGCCTCCTTCTGAGAAGCCTTCCCCCCTCCCCCTGCCCCCCTCCTGCGCGCCGCCTGCGGATAACCGCGGGGGTTGCTGAGGGGGCAGCGTGGGGCGGCGGGGTCTACGACGACGACGACGACTGACGACGACGACGACGACGGCGGCGGCGGCGACGGCGGCGGGGACGACGACGACGACGACGACGACGACGACGACGGCGACGTCGACGACGACGACGACGACGACGACGACGACGACGACGTCGACGACGACGACGACGACGACGACGACGACGACGACGACGACGGCGGCGACGACGACGACGACGACGACGACGACGACGGCGACGGAGGGTGGGCGCGCGGGGTCCGTGTAGGGCAGCGGGGTCTGTACACAGCCGCGACCTGGGGCACTGGGCACGCTCCGTGTGGGTCCCACGGCTGACGCAGGGTTGCTCGTACCTTGAGGCTTGAAGCGCTTAGCACGCTCCTCCTTCTCCTCCTTCTCCTCCTCCTCCTCCTCCTCCTCCTCCTCCTCCCCCGCCTCCCCCGCCTCCTCGCTCCTTGCGCCTCGCTCCTCGGTCCTGGTTCCACGCTCCTCGCTCCTTCCAGCCTCCTCCTGCCTCTTGAAGACCAAGTTCGGGGGTGGACAGACCTCCTACCCTGATTTCGCCGTTTTCGGTTCGCGAGAGGGCGTCGCGGCCATCCGTTTTGCGGCTCCAGGTCCGTCCGTTTCGGTCCCAGGCCGCTTTCCCTAAAGGGAGGTTTACTAAAGGGAGGTTTGTCCACCGCCGACAAGTGGCGCAAGGGGGGTTGGAGAACCTCGCCAGGTGGGTGGGGCCCGCTTGGCCGGGATCGTTAACCCCACTCAGCCACTCAGGGCAAGTGCAACCCTTTTGTGAGCTAGGTTTTGCCATACATATATATATATATATGTATATACATAGCCCACCTCAGCATCCACTTCTAACCCCTATCCCCTTAGCACCCCCCGCGGTGATCTCAAAGGGGCACCGTCAGGATCGGTGAAACGTACGGCTTGAGTTCGCCGTAGCTCGGGTTTGCCGATGTTTTTTGGCGGGTTCGTCTTGAATCTTAACAGTGCAGTTTTCGCGGGATGTTTGCAGCATATGCTCGCGCCAAATTTCAAAATGGGTCTCGTCATTTTCCCGAAAGCCCCGCCAGTCCATCCCGAGTTCTCCGAACCTGAGTCTAACGTTTCTGATAGGAGGAGATAGGCCCAGGGGGGAAGTATCAACCCACGACCCACAATCGCCCGTTCATCGCCGACAGAGGGGGCTCTCGTCCATCTATGGAGAAGCACCGAGCGGATCGAGGAGGATCGAGGAGGAGCATCGAGGAGGAGGATCAAGGAGGACCGAGGAGGACTGACGACAGCGTCCAGACATCGGAGGGGTGTGCATGCTCCACGCTGGGGGCGCGCACGAGGGGGCAGGCCAGGGCGAAAAGGGCGGCCGTCTGAAAAGGCTCCCCCCCACCTCTTCGCGCAAACAGCGGTGGTTACTGGATGCTTTTCGGAGGCTTTTGCGCGCCTCCGACTGGGGCTTTCGGATGGTGGTCTCAGGTTTTCGGCTGGTTCTCTGGGCTCTCAGAGGTTTTCTCTGGATGGCTTTCTGAGGGTTTCTCAGATTTTCGGGGGTGCCATCAGCTGCGCCTCGTCAAGTCGGCCAGGGCCAGGCCGAGGATCAATCCGTTCCAGAGCGTTCCGGAACTCTCTCAGAGCGTTCCGGAGCGCCCTGAGAAGGCCGCGGCGCCCGAGACGTCCCTCCAGAGCCGACGGATCTCAGAGAGTCGCTTCATCCTCGTCCTGGCCTCGTTACTATGCATCTTCGGGAGACCTCCCCTGTCCCCCAAATTGGTGGCTTTTCTTGTGCTCGACGCGGGTTCGATGCGGCATCGACGCTGATTTGGTGTGGGCTCGACTCGGATTCGACGTGGGTTCGACGAGTCCGACATGGATTCGACGCGGGTTCGACGCGGATAAGGCCGCGACGGGACAGACAAGGTCCCCCCAGGATGTAACATAAGCCTCGTCTTATCGAGGGCGAGTCAGGGGCGTCGGCATCGTCCCGAGAGGCTGCGCGTGAGGCGCGAGCAGCATCGCCCGAAGGAGAGCAAGCCCGGAGGAGGGCCAGGCGAGGCCAGGGGTCGGCCTCAGCGGTGTTTGGGCGATCTCGTGGGCCGTTCTCGTTTCGATCTCGTTTTGCAGCAGAGGTGGACTGAAGACAAAACGAGGGAAGGCGAAAACAAAACGAAAACGCAAAACACTGTTCAGGTCGATGCCTGGCCGAGGCCATATGGCGGCCCTTTCCCCCGTCGGCGGCTTCTTTCGTTATCTCTCTCTCTCTCTCTCTTTCTCTCGGGGCCTCCCCGGAGGCTCCTCGTATCGCCACGGCCAGGTGCGTTCGATGCTCGTTTTCGGACCTTCCTGGGGCACGCCTGACGGATCTGTTCGACTCAAGTTCAGCCCAAGTTCGATTCAGGTTCGACTCAAGCTCGACTCAGGTTCGACTCAGGGTCGGCTCAAATCGACGGACGTTTGACGCAGGAAGCAGAAAGCAGGACTGTAACATTGGAGACTTGAAACTGGAACTGGTGCAGGGAGCAGCACACTTCGGCCTGCAGTCTGGTTGCCCCACAAGGGGGCCGGCGGATTTCTGTCATGTCCTGGCTCTGGATACTTGCGAAGGGCGTGCGCGCGAGCTCACGAGCCCAGCGGCCTGGCTCCGAGAGGCGATGGTTATCGAGGCACGCGCGGGCGCCGTCGCGGAAAGCTATCGCGCCTCGCGCGTGCGCGGGGGCACCGCCAGAGGCGCCGCCAGAGGCGGCTGGGAGGCAGGTCTGGCGCAAGCCCCAGGAGTTCAATCGGACCTCTGGAAGTGGATTCTGATCCGCCTCTTGTTCCCCCGACCTGCTGCTCGCCCCTCGCCCGCCCGACTCCCGCCGATCGTCTTCTTCGTCGTCGTCGTCGCCGTCGTCATCGTCGTTATTGTCGTCGTCGTCGTCGTCGTCGCCGCCGCCGACCTGCTGCTCGCCCCTCGCCCGCCGGACTCCTGCCGCCGCGACCCAGATTGAACATCACACATTTCCCCACGCAGTGCTTGCATTGAAGGGGTCCTAGCGGAGGTTTAAGGATCAGGGATGGACAGACCCCCCTTTAGCAAAACGTGGTTTAGTGAAAACGACCTGAGGCCCAAGCCTGGTGGGCGCAAGCCTGGAAAATAACGGCCACGGCGCCCTCTCGAAAAGCGAAAAGGGACAATTCACTAATCGACGTCGGCGAGTGACCACGGCGAGCGACCACGACGACGCCGACGACGTCGACGACCACGATGACGACCACGACGACGACGACGACTCTGCCGCCGCCGCCGCCGACGACGACGACGACGACGCCGACGCCGCCGCCGACGACGACGACGACCACGACGACCACAACGACCACGACGACCAGGACGACCACGACGACCACGACGACAACGACGACGACGACGACGACCACGACGACCACGACGACCACGACGACCACGACGACCACGACGCCGACGACGACGACGCCGACGCCGACGCCGACGCCGACGCCGACGCCGACAACCACGACAACGACGACGCCGACGCCGTTGCTGACGCCGACGCCGACGCCGACGCCGACGCCGACGACGACGCCGACGCCGACGACCACGACGCCGACGCCGACGCCGACGCCGACGCCGACGCCGACGCCGACG